AATAATAGAAAAAAATAAATAATTTATAATTTATATAAGAAAAAAATGTAAAGCATACACATAAGCAAATTTTTGTTTGATTCACAATATCTATTTATACAAACTTATAATAATAGATTTTAAAAATACAAAATTGTTAAACAAATTAAAAAATATATATAAGAACGTGCAAAGAATATTTCATGAAAAGGATGTTGAAATTTAAAATATCTAATTATTCTTACTTAAGTATTAAATGTTACATTTTGTGCGGATTAAACAGGTTCATTTTATAGATATTCCGTGTACGCGCGATGGCACCAATATAAATGGTTGGAATAGATGGCTCGAGAAATCGATGGCTAGAGAAATGATCGTAACTTAGCGGACTCACGAATCCAGTGACTACCATCGGCTACAAATTCGGCTGTTTCGACCGCTAACACGATTATATATATGCGTGCGCGTTTATAACTACAGTCAACTCGATTAGTCGATTTCGTAAGCAGCGTATCTCCGCTATAGAGAAACGGTGATGTGCTACCGAGACCATTTGATCATGTACCGAAACTTTATCTCTAAAAGATATCTGACCGCGCACGTGAATAACTGCTTTAATATTGATAGTCCATAGCGATTCTATGTCACAATGTAAACGACAAAAGTAAGTTTATTCGGCTAAAGCTATGAGACCACGCAAAGATTTATTGTAATATAAAATGACTAGATTTTGATTTTCGAAGACATGCTTTTCTCTTTTCATCATTAGATTAAACCAAGCTTTTCAGAAAAATTTATTGTGCTTGTTTTATAAGAATTTAAGAATTTTGAAATAATAAAAACTATATAAATTTATCTATCATAAATAGAAATAAATAAAAATATTCATAATTATAAGATGACTGATATGATTATGACTATTTTTAGTTCATTGATTTATCCAGTAAAAATTTAGGCACATTATTTATTTTGTCTACAATTTCACTTTATCCCCGAATTCTTATGTCAAATATTATTCTTACACGACGATGTATTCAATTTCTTTGTAATCTATTTTATAAATAAAATATTTTTTTTTGGAAATATTTATTTTATTTTTTGTTATTGTTTGTTATATTTATATTTTTTTGATATATGATAAAAAAATAGAAGATCGTGCACATTCTAGTTTTTTTTACTGTTATCCTAGTCGCATGCAAAAAAATATGATCGCGATACGCTGTGGAAAAATTTCGTGATATCGTTTTACAGTTTATTAAAACATTCTCATTAAAGCATCCGATGATATCAACGTCAAACCGCGAAAAGGTTACAAAATCACGCATCTCGTAAGTTGCAATTTTGCTGTATATTTTACTTTATTTTGTCGCATTTATATTCATACGTTCCTATTTTCCACAATTTGTTTTTGTTTTAATGGAATTGACCTGATGCCCAGAAAATATTTATGAAACGCTTTAATGTTGCATTTATTTTCTTTTCGTTACGATTTTATCAATATTTTTTCGAAATAATTATAGCATATTCAGTGACACTAATCCTATATATAAAGTTGCGAGATACTTTTCATATTTATTATTATATGCTTTAAATCATAATTGTTATATCCATTATTAATTCGCTAAAATGTTATTATCATACACATGTTTATATAAATGACAAATGTAAAAAATAATTGATCACGAATAAAATGAATTTCAAAGAATATATTTTTACAAAGTATAAATTATGATTATTTAACTGAATTTTTTTTCCATATTTTGGAAACACAGTAAACGTGTCCTAATTGTCTTAAATCAAAATATAGACAACTTGAGCCGCATTTACCAATATGATTTCTGGGATGCGCGCAAACGACACACGTGCGTCCATCCCGTAAGCATATTTTCATGCAAATGACACGCGACTGCACGATGACGACAACAATGGTAGCTTCGTGACGACCGACACCGAGATCGTGATCAACATTTCTCTTACCTGTTACACATGCGGAGGGTAGACCTTCCCTAGGGCTTCTCCGTTGCGGCATCGATTGCACCAACCGCGGTGAAACGCCGTCGGGTTCGTATTCGGTCACGTGCATCCTACTGTAGCCGACGAATCGCGTTCGCAGCAAACCTGCAACGATATTGCGAACGAATAAATATCGATACCTGCTCATTATATCGTATCGCAAAATCTGCGTGCTTGCCGGAGCACGTGCGTCCGCTTTCCTGCGCTCGTTCTCATTCACCTGCATGTCGTATCTTGACGTATCTTTGGCCTCTTTTCTCCGCTTTATGCGATATGCGCGATAATGGTTGCAAGCTCAGCAGTGGCCAACTCTCGGGTTTGCTCGCGTTCACGTAATTTACGTATGTATCGGCCCGATCACGATCGGCCTTTATCTCATTCTGATTACTCTTATCGCGTACCACGGCTTCTGCGGATTTCTTCCGAATTTGTCAGAGAATAAAGATACGTGCTTCTTGCGCGCTTCTTTATGTGTATTTCTCAGAACGACACGGTCGTTTACGTATAACATTGGTTCACTTATATAGACTGTGCTTACATTATGGCTCAAACTTTGGAGGAAGTAAGTTTAAAGTAACGCGACTACTTTAATGTCTTTCGCTGCTTTTACAGTTTTACGAAATTTCAAAAAGTTAAAAATAAATTTAGTAGTTATGAGATCTCGCGTGTGTGAGTGAGCAAAGCATCCTCATTTTTATAAAATATTTAATCCAAAAAAATACATATATCTTCTATCAATGACATGCATAAAATACAGACATTAGGATCTTTATTAATTTTTAATTCATTTATTTCTTTTAATTTCCTCTATTCCAAAATACACTATTGTAAGTTAACAAGAAGCAACTTTCTTTCTTTTACACCCCTAACAATTTATTTATAAAATATGCAAAATAAATTATAAAACCATCTAAATTTTTGTAAAATTTTATATATATTTAAGGATATGAAAATTTGTAGTTTAGTTGATTTGATTGCATTGTCTTCTACAACAGTATTTCTAGAATACAATAATTGTGTCAGACTATTTCATACATCATAGTGATTATCTTTAAGCCTTATGATATGGCATTAACCGAGCGATATACGATATACATCGTGCGCGTCATACTCGGACATGAAAGACACATAACCCACTAGATTCTGGAGACCAAGAGACTATAAATAAGCGCGCAGATAATGTCGTGAGTCCGCTTACCTTCGTTAGAGATTAAATCGGCACCTAAAATAAGTACGCTTAACGGATTGCCCGAACGAGCTTGTCATCTGAGCGGTTGCAAATCTAATTTCAGGCTGATGCTTCAGCACTACATTATGCATCCGATTGGATGCTAAATCATACATTGATTCGTGCGAGATATCGTTAATTCGTAGTATTTTTAGATCTAATAGTATTTTTAAAATAAATATATTAGAACAATTATATATTTTTAAAAATGCAATTGAGAATTTCGACAATTTCGAGTTGATTATATATAAAAAAAGAATGCGAAAGAAAATATGATTATTTTAAATATTATCCTTTAAAATTTAAATCTTTTGTTTCCCTAGTGACTTAGTAATTGTTACACTATCAACGCGATATACAATATTTCTATACGATAATTATTTGATATTTTTTATAAACTCTCGATGCTACGTGCTTATTTATAGGCAATATATCTATTCGGTTGCAACTTAATTTCTCCGTTTATTAATATACTTACTTGAATAATATTTGAAGACTCGTGCAGAGAGAGAGAGAGAGTTAACTTGATGATCGCCTGATACTTTTTTTTGACACTCCCGATACTATACATCAGGCAATATTTATATTCGAAAAATCTTTCGGGAATTTTATATATTTAATACACAATATGTGATACAATTGAAAGTGTGATTGACAATTTGCTCGACAAATTCGCATAACTGATATGATGATACTGTATCAACGCATAATACATACACAACGAATATTTTTGTCGACAGTCTCGATATTATATATATGTTTACTTGCAGGCAATATTTATTTTTAGTAACATCAAATCATGACTCGATAATAAATCAAATTATTGAAAAATAGGTTATATCGCGAGAGTGAATATTTTATGATTGCAATATTGTACCGCAATATAGACTGATTCCGTCTTTTTGAAACTCACGAGATACCGTAATATATATGTAATCTGATATCGTTTCTTCGATACTCACGTGATGCTCGATCGCGATTAAATCTACATTTTAAATTTACAAACCACAAGTGCGAAGATAATTAAACTTTTCACTTCCAATTCCGATCGAATACTGTAGTCCGATTCCGAAATTCCGAGTTCATGTTGTGCAAATTAAATATGGCTGTCGTGACGTGCGTTAATTTGGCGCTAATTTCTATGATGTGAAATTAACGCATACATATGTATATGGCGTCGCGACACTACCGCGCCGTTTGATTAAATATAAATTCGACATTAATAAATACATGTATCGAATATACAAAAAAAGAGAGAAAAAAAAGAAAAGAAATATCGTATATAATTTTTTGTATCTAATTATTAATAAATGTTTTGCAATATTTATTAGATAATTGATTTATCACTCTTGATAGCATTATAGAGAGAGATAGAGAAAGAGATTACGCGTGTAACGCGTATATGACACGAGTAAGAATCGCGAAAAGTTTGAGTTATTTTTCACGACGATCGAGATTATATTGAGCGAGAAGTTATATCGAAAAAAATATATAGAGGCAAAGACGGGAAAAAAATTCTCGGAAGCGAATTCAGCCACTTTGTTTACATTAAGCGAGAGCGAGCTTATCTCTTTCTTCGCTCCTTCTCTTTCGTATGTTTCTATCCCTTTTTAGGATCGCGCGCTTATTTCGTTTCAGTTTCTACAGAAATTACCGTATTCGACGTAATGCAATACATACATACATTTCGAAACGAATCAGCACACACATACATGTACACAGCTCTAGTCGCCGGCCGAGCTCGCTTCCGAGAATCTCCCTTCTTTTGCACACGGCCTCCTGCCTCCTGCCTCCTCGCTTTTTTCGAGACAATTTCTTGTTTAGTCCCATTTCGGCTATCGCGCGAGTGTCCAGTCGAAAACTTTTTACGATACTTACTCGTACGTTAATGTCCCGCGTGTATATTCGATGTACATTACGTATATTAGAATATTACCTTTTGAATATTTCGTGTCTTGTCGGTCGAACCCGACCACTGTGAAGTGAATCGATTCACTGTCTAGTGAAAACGAATCGGAAATAGAGATACATGTATTTAATAATCATGCCCATCTAGTGTGTTGTACATACATCGGTTATTTGGAGAAACGTCGATTTATGGTATAGATAAAAAAAGAAAAAATCCGTCTTATAATATATCGTCCGTAAAGCGTGCAATGCTGGGAGAGTCGAGAAAACAATCGGGCCGTTGTATTATGCGTAAATGTATCTGTTATGTCGTCTCTTGTCGTTTCAAGATATGCAGCGTTGGCGACCGCTTCGTATCTTTTCCGTGTTTTTGTTGTCAAGGACACATTCCTCGCGGACATGATTGAACGACGCATGATCGTCGTACTAATAAACGCGATTGGGATTAATTATTTGCGTCGAATGGAAGTAATTTATTTGCTTTGAACGCGCGTTACGGAATAACGTCGGTAAAAGATATAAAATTCTTTAAGAGTACATCAATACGCGTCATTAATTCGATCGAATCATATCGAGTATTATTCGGCATATCAGAAATATCTATGGAATTTATTTAGACGAATATTGATATTCGCGCGATAATAATTTATTATTCGTTCGCTTTTCGAGCTTGTCGGTATATGTGTTAGTTATAGCGTGAAGTAGCTGTGCATCTTGAATTATATATCGCGTTACGTATGTATAATTCGAATAGAAAGGCCGCTAGAGAATGACACGTTCGCGGAGGATACATGCGATACAACAAATTCGTCGATTCAAGGATAATGTTCGATCGCGCGTATGCCTCGAAATGAATACGTAGACACGCGTACGTACGCGACGATGCGACATGCGTGAGATAGGGGAAGGTTATGGAACGAGAAAGTAGGCACGCACGGTGTATAAAGGTAGTGTAGCCCGAGCGCGGCCGACGGGTGGGGGAATCGGCGGGGTGTTCGGGCGATCTCGGCTGGCCGCCGAAGTCTCACGAAGTGTCCCGAAAGTAAAGCGCGCGACAGACGGTCTTCGCGCGTCGAGCTCACCGGTCGTTCTCGTTCGCACCTCTCGGTCCTTCATCGTCTCGACGTTTACGCGACGACGATTCCCGAATACGGATTAACGTTTCGGATCGACCAAGACGCGCTTCTCCGCCGATATCTCTCGTTCGTCCGCGTCGAATAAATCACGCCACCATCGAGTTTCTTGTGTTCATTCGCGACTGTTCGCGGAGTTGACGCCTGAAGTTCGCGACTAAAAAAAAAAAAAAAAAAAAATCAGTTTCCGAGTGTTTCGTTTTGTGATGTGCATGAAGCCAACTACTGGCCGCTGCAAGATGATGACGACCACCGTCTGGGCCTGTGTCCTCGCCGTGCTGTGTGCGACGTTTGTTAAAGGTGCGCGACGAAGTTAACATCACACGGTGAAATCTCGTTATGACGAATATCATAATTTGAATGCACGTTGGCCGACAACGTCATCGGTGTGTATGTCTCATGTATAATGAAATCGTGACAAACTTCATTCCATTGGAATTCGTTATAATGAGATTTTATTGTGACTTTACATATCCATCATATAATGCGCTTTTTTGACGTACGTTTAATTTTGCTCCGACCGTCAATAAAACGATCACCGTTTATATCTCGCTATTAATCGCCGTCGAATATATATCGTACGATTCGACGTATTTGGAAAAAGACCGAAAGATATAGTTTTATGATCTCTTTGCGATCGTTATCTCGGAAAGCAAACGCATTTAAGCAAATGACAGGCGGCTTCTCGTAACTTTTCCTCTCGTTGGATTCTCTCATCGCGTTGAAGATTCGCGGGAAAGGGAAACTCGTGGGAAAAATTCGCGAGTGCTTTGAAGTTGACAAGAGGAAGAAGAAGCGGGAAAAGGGGCTTGATGTGCAGCGGTGGTTCACTTCACGTTGTGTGCGTTTCTGCGCGGAACGACGCGACGACGTACGAAATGAATATAAACGCTGGCGGGAAAACGCAAATGCACGCGACATCGTCATCGACGAGATTATCCAACTCGGCGTGTCGCGAAAGCCAGGATGAGATTTTGTGTTCTCCTGAATGCGTCCGTTTCGAGCGAAACAAATTCGGAGCGTGGGTAATGGCGCGTTGTAAATGTAATGTAACATCGGCGAGCTATTCCGCGTATATATGTATAATTGATGTGAATATAATACGTGAATATAATTCGACGGTCGATTAACAGCGTGATATTAATATTAAATATATGAAACTAGGCAGACGATTGGTAGCGCGTTATAGCATAATGCGCAAAATTTGTCAGACGGAACATGATTATGGTGAATATAAAATATGATACATTCGAGATGAATCTCATCCCATTCTTATAATATTTTGCAGATAATTTTTTGCGCGATGTAAATGTATAATAAATTCAGCCGAAATGTGCAATAAAATGAATATAAGATATGCGAATACTGGAAAGGGAATTAACAACGCAGAAAATACAGATATAATTAATACAAAATGAATGTAGAAATTTAGGAAGATATTTATGAGATGTGATATCTCCGATTAATAGCGCATTTAACTATAATGTAAAATTCAAAGTGATTAATATATTTTGATATCAATATGGTATATATTTGAAAAATGATTATGAGCATGATACGAGATATTGCTGTTGTACACGTATCTCGCTTTCGAAACAAAACGGTTCCTTGTGGCAGTACAGTAGATTAGAGCTAATCGATCATCGAATCAGATAACGAAACATGGTAGGAGTCACAATAGTATATATATTCTCCCTGGAGAGTTATATCGATATGTGCATTCTTTGTATTACAATCGCTTTTAAATTAACGCGATGGTAAAATAATATAGTAAAACAAAAAAATTTCACGAATGATTATAATATTTTTTTTATAATAAATTTTAAACTATTTACCATCACAAAATTAAAAATTTTTCGTGACGTCTGTTCGAATCAATTCAACATATCCAAGGATCTTTTTAATATCGCACTAGTAATTTCGCTTAAGTAACTCGATTTAAAATTTAAGCAGTATCAAAAATGAAAGAAAGAGACAAGGTATTTTACTTTATTTGGAAACATAATTTTCCATGATTGCTATCTTTTTATAGAATCGATTTTTCATAGAAACTTTGTTACGTAGCTTACATTGAAAAAAAGATTTTTAGTTAGAAAAAAATGAATTAGAACGAACGTTGAAAGATTTTTAAATGTGTATTATATTGGAAATATTATAAAATTAAAATAATTTATTTGCGCAGAATGGATGTCTTGCTAAAAAATAGGATTTATTGTTATTAATTTATATTAATTTGCAAGGACATTTTATAGCGGCTAATAAATTCGCGATATGGAAAAGTTCTGATTTAGTGAAAACGGATATATATGTATATATCAATTGATTTGCTCGTTTGCATCCGTAAGATTTTTATTGGTACGGAATCCATATATAAATCCAGTTTTTATTTGTTAAAAAAAATATAATTTTATAAAAAATTTGTTATATCATAAATCTATATTTTATGATTTAATGATTCATGATTTTGAAAAATTATTACGTGTATTAAACTATTAACGCTAAAGGCGTAAATTTTTTTTAAGCGCGCTCTGAACTTTGTTTAAATATTTTTATATTAAATTACTTTTAATTATTTTACGCGATCTATTAATGAACGAAATAACAACCGATTATTTATAGAAAAGCGTTGGCTGGATAAACAATTAATATTACGATATAATCGAAGAAAATTTCTCGTTACCTGCGAATAACCTGTCGCAACCAATTAAAGCTTCGGGACGTTGATTATTTTGCAATTATCGGGACAGGTCTTATTTAGGGATGAGCACATCGAAATACTCGGTACACTATTTTTCACAAATGAGATTAATTCTTAAGCGAACAAAAACTTCTTGTTATTTTTGATAAAAATAGAAAGTCATAATTTTACTTGATTTGATCAACATTTTTCGAACATTTTCAGGATAATTGTTCTAAAGATATTTTTTTTATTGATTAATGAAAAATTAGATTAGTTGGTTAAATATTAAATAAAAGCTCGGACTTTGGTGTATATTAAAGGCAACTGGAATATTATTCCAACAGATTAAAGCTATTTTTAGATAGAATTAATAATACCGTTATAGATTGAACATCTCGTTTTATGGCTGATAAATTTGATGCTATTTCGATTTGATATTCGTCTTTTTGATCCGCTGTATCATCTGAATTCGATTGTCGTGTGAAACGGTAAAATCTTTATTCGAAATCTTCCGTTAATCTCTTTCTTCTCTATTTAATTACATCATATTCCTCATTTGCCGTACATATAAAGTGACGCGAAACAAGTTCGTTTATCATAACACAGGTATAAGACGAATCCAATAACTGGCATTTATCGATCTAACAACGAGCAACAGCTGATACCATTATTCTATTTGCTCTTTATGTGCGATATAATTCACGAAGAATTACGTTTACGTTTATATACAGACTTTATGCAGATTATGATTTAATCTGTTATTTTAATACAAAAATCTGATCATTTTCAATATATATATATACATATATATAAATTTTTAACTGTTTAAAATTTTTTGAGCGTGCTATATTAATATTATACTACCATAATGTGCTAGTTAATTCGTTAATAAGTTAATTTATATAATAAGCTAATTCGTTTTGCAATATTTAGTGTGTTTCAAAGTTAAAAATAATATGAAATGGAAACACACACACATTCGAAATATGACAATTTGTAAAAAATCTGTTAATGTAATTCTGAACACGTGTATCGCGCGACGATCGATGCTCATGATATATACATATAATACATATTTCGGTAGAAATAACGTGATGTGTAAAAATGCCACGCGTATGTAACAAGATTGCGTGCGTGCCATCGTAAAATGATCTGAAATACGCCTTGGAAAGTTTAAGGTCACATTGCAGGTCACATTTGCACAAACTCGCCTTTTGTCGATTAAACTCGTGTTCGCCTTGAGCTGTAATAAAAGGTCGATATAAATATGATGCAATCGCAAATGCTGGACGTGAGGTGCACGATATACTTGCAATTAAAACGTAAGATGCTTTCCAAGTAAATTCGTTGACGCATCTTGCATTTTTTGTGGTCGGTTGAGATCTATCTCACGCGCGTAGAACTATTATCACGCGAGACGTAATTTTCGAGGCACTTGTAGCAAATGATGTCATGTACTTAACGACGAATTATTATGATTTGGTCATGCATGTCATAACTTAATTCCGAGAACAGAATGAGTCAGTCAGTCGGTCGATGAATGCCAGTTGTTGGTTGCTTTGACTTTGATCGTAAATGCAACGTATACGTGTACTTATGTGCATCGATGAAATAAAAACTGAACTAGTATAGAAACATTTTCTATTCTATAGAAAATACTTAACGAAAAGTGGAATTCTGACGTATAAAATTATTTCATTAACTTATAAGAAAAAATAAAAATAAATTTTTAATTCCAAACAATAATATATGATATTACATAGGCAATTATGGCAATATATAAGGCAATTACTTAACAAACATAATACATATTTCTCATTTTAGAAATTGTAAATCTGTTACTCTCTATTTTATCAAAATTTCGTTGTTTTGTTAACATTTATTGAGAAAGAATTTTATTTCTTCCTGTGTAAAATAGTATAAAGCATTAATGTTCGAAAAAAGCTCTCGGAAAAAAATTTATTTTCCTCGTTATCTGATATTCTTTACAAGTCATTACGTCGACATGTGTGTTTTGTATTTACGAAAGACTATAGGCCACCACAGGCTGCAAAAATATTGCAAAAAGTGGAAGGAGATTTCCGAAAGCCAGTAAAAAAATACTTGTTTGGTTGAGGGAGAATATTTATGTCTACAGAGTGTGCACAGCGGGAAGGATACAAAGTAGAACGAAAAGAGATGGGAGAAAGATAGAGAAAGAGAGAGGGAGAGAGAGAGAGAGAGAGAGAGAGTAATATTGGGATGATATTGTTCGAAGCGAAGAGGAAGTGGATGAGACTGAGGGTTTAAATTCGATACTTGATACGCGCACGGTTGTTGGTAAAACCATACCTTCGAATGGATAAATACGAAAGAAGTATTCTGCCAGAACTACCGGGTATGTGAGTATATTTGAAAATTTTCTGTCGGCCTTCGGATGTACGCGATTGTATCCGGCCGAACGCGGACGAGTTTCGAGTTTGTTTTGTAAACCGAATCGCCACAAAGTTATGGAGCAGTAGTCGATTCCAGATTTTACGGAAAATATATAATCTTTTTGCGTTGAGGATTTTCCGCTGGATAAAATATATGGCGAATCTTTCACAAACTGTATACGACGACTGATACGCGCTGTTTAAGT